GAAAGACATTCCCTTTGAAATAAGGGGGGAAAGGAAGAAATATAGAGACCTGGCTCTGTTTCTACAAAAGAATAACATCTCCTACAAATGGATTGTACCTGAAGTCATACTTTTCAAATTTAAAGACAAGAGGGGAAAAATTGACTCTGTTATGAAAGCACTTGAGTTCTTGCAGCAACAACTGGATCCAACAGGGGAAGAGGACAAGAAGAGCAATAAGGGGAGTAATGATGAAACACTTACTGGAGAAGACTCGGATTCGAAACGTGGGGTGGCTGCCCCCAAGCAAGGATATCAATTGAGGGACAGAAGAGGCAAATGAGAGGCCAATTTTCTCTGAATTTTGGTCTTGTGTCTTAATATTTAAACAATCTTTGTTTTGTTTTTTACTAAGTCAGAATACCTGGACTTGAAAATTTTTAAAGCGACTTTAACTATTCCCTTTTGGTATAGATAGGGGCTCTGGGGCAAGTGATGCTCTGTCTTCTTGGTGCTTGGGGGGGTCAACAGTGGGAGGGCTTCTAATGTCCTGGCCCCACTGGTGGACCTCCTGATGGCACCTGGTATTTCTGGCCACTGTGTGACACAGAGTGTTGGACTGGATGGGCCTTTGGCCTGATCCAACATTGGCATCTCTTATGTTCTTATGTAACAATCACCTTCAATGTAACAAATTAATCTTTTTTACTTAAAGCTACTTTATTGTGATCATTATATGACTGCCATCTCTTGGGGTTTTAGTAGTTTATCTTTACTGTCTCCTGTAGTTTATAGTTTCCCTTTCCTTATTTTCTTGTAGTTTTGGAAAATTAAAAACAAACAAACAACCAAGTTCCTGAGAGAGAAGACCTGTACACTTCCAGTGTCCCTCAGTCCTGTGGTCAGTGGCATAGGGTATTGCGTGTAGTTTCCATCATTGCTGCAGTTACAGGGTAACTCAATAAAGTTGAACCTTCCCATAAAGTCACTCTGTAGCAAATGAGTATATGGGTTATTTATAACCTAACGTAACCACTTCATTTTGTCATTGAACAAGCTAGGCTTACCATTTGCCTACCTGCAGCAGGCACATGCTGGCCCTTGATTGTCCACATGGGGATGAAAAAAATGGGGGGAAATGATGTCACAAATGCTGTTCCACACTTCTGTGTGACCACCCAGAAGTGACTTCATGGTGCTCACAATGCTCTTGGAATTCCCCCTTATTTCTATGGTCTTTACCATGGAGATTGGGGAAATTCCTAGAAGGACATGAAGGATGTGATGTCACTTCCAGGTGGAGGATTCACTGTCCAGGATCCCTCCCTCCCAAAGCTCTTGGAATCAGCAGATGTAGAGCTGGCAACCCTAAGCATTCTTCTTAGTAGTCCATTTATACTGAACCCATTTGACTCACCCTTGACATACATGAACTATACTATAAAATTTGGTTCCATTTTGGAATCTTAAGGGTAGTTCATGATGACCGTGTTTAAGGAATGTACCACTTTGATTGCTTAACTAAACTTTTTTCCTTTAAAAAACTTTTAACGTGTAGAAAATTGGTATTAAAAAATTTCTAACCTTCTTTCTGACATTTTAATTTTCTGTGCATAGTGATTTAATTTATGAGAATCAAATTCACTTGCATGCTAAAGTGATATAACCTGAAAGCAGTTTCACTTGATGAGCTATGTATCTATAAAAAGGTAAAGGTTCCCTTGCTCGAAAGCCAGTCGAATCCGACTCTAGGGTTGCGGTGCTCATCTCCATTTCAAAGCCGAAGAGCCAGCGCTGTCCGAAGACGTTTCTGTGGTCATGTGGCTGGCATGACTTAGCACCAAGGTGAACAGAACGCTGTTACCTTCCCACTGAAGTGGTACCTATTTATCTACTTGCAATTTCTTGCTTTCGAACTGCTAGGTTGGAAGGAGCTGGAACTAGAGATGGGAAGCTCACTCCGTCATGTGGCAACTCGGGTCTTGAACTGCTGAACTACCAACTTTCCACAGCCTGCAGTTCAGCATCTTAACCACTTGAGCCACCGCAGCTCCTATGTATCTGTACTAGGCCTAAGTTTAGCAAGGTGTAAGTATGGGAATGTCTGAGGCACATTGGCATAATTTGTAGTTTCTCACTAATACTAGTTATGACAGGAGTCTATTAGTTCCAGGGTCATCCTGTACTCTCTTTATACTCATGCTAGGTATATTCATTTAGTGGCTTGAGTGTTACGTTAAGAACTGGGGAAACCAGGTTCAAATCCCCATTTTACTGGTTGACCATGGGCCAGTTCTCTTCTTTCAGCCTAGCTTACCCTCACAGGGTTGGTGATGAGGATAAAAAGGGAAAGGGAGTCAAAGTAGTTACAAGCTACTTTGGGTAACCTTTGGAGAGAAAAGTGGAGTAAAATATCAAAAATAAATAAACCCTCTCTTTTATGTTGTATCCTTCCAGGGTGCTCATGATAGTGGTATATATGGATAGGGTCAACCCATCGCAATAACTGGGCTTTCTCAGTCAACACAGTATTTTCATGAATTTTGGTAATATTCCTAGAGGCTACAAAGCAGGGTGAGAACAGTTGTCTATTCAGAACTAGGGACGGAAACATGCCTTTACTCCAATTTGTCTTTGGGATATTCCTGATAGGATGTGCATTCAGTGTTTCCGAGCTGAATTAATACCCAAATCATACCTTTTTAGCATGATTCAGGCATTAGTTAAGCTGTATCAGACTGTATCTGATTTTGGGGAGAGGCTCCAGCAGCTACACTGCAAATTTGAGGCCTCTACCTCAAACTGCCTCCCCGCAGCTTACTGAATATCCCCTAGGAGATTTGTCATTGACTATAATGGCTCCATAGTGTATAATAACACTGAAAAATTTGGGATTCCTGAATTTTACAAGAATTTCAATACAATACTGATATTGGAATTTGGGTTTTCAAGGCAATACCAAATTTTCAAGGGTCCAAACCCCCCAAATCTGGAAAATACTGAATTTTTTTCCTTGCACATCCCTAGTTCCTGACTGACTAAGATCATATTGGGAAGAGACCCATAAAGCTAGCAAATTGCAGACTGGAAGGAGAAGCATCTTTGAAACTGTTGGCAAAGGGGTTCTGTTACATTTTGTCCCTGACCATCGTGCCTTTGATCTGAAACCTTTGCTGGCTAAATAATTGGTGCAATGCTTAAGCATATAGGTTGGATCCCATGTATATCCCATGCACAGGAGCATTACTTCCCCCTCCCCCTTGCATCCTTTTACATGCATCGTTCTTTGCCATGAGCTCACACCCGCAACCAAATACACAATAAAATATAGGGTAACCATATGAAGTTGATGGGTTGGCCTTACCATGCCACATAGAATCACTAAATAGTAAAATCTAGATCAATCTTTTTATAGGCTAGCTAAACATTAAACAGACCATGTGAAATATTTGACTGTAAATGTTTCAGAAAGCTTTATTCAGGAATATTAAACAATGGTCCAAAGCAAGCATGTTACAATATGTTACTATAATGCTACTACTGTGTTACTATATGTTACTATAATGCTATATACACTGCATAAAAACACTAGTGTTAATTGCAATGGTATGTTTTTGACTTTTTAACAACTATTTTCACTCCATGCTTAGATTTTTTTTAAAAAAATTAACTATAAAAAATAGCACCATAAAGCTGAGTATTCTCTAAAACACTCAAGATCTTTCTATTATTTAATTTACAGCTGATCAGTTACACTGCTGAGTGAGAGATAGTCTTCCCCTACCAGACTTCCAAGGCCAATAGGGAAGAAACTGTGCTTCGATGCTCCTTTCCATTCTTGGGGCTAGGGAGGCGGTCAAAGAGTAGTGCAAGATGCTTGTAACCTGGAGGCAAGCATTTTCTTTAGCTCATCAGGCATCTTGCATTGTTGTTTGTCATAAAAAGGTAGTGTCTTCCTCTGTTCTTCCTTCTTCACGCTCCTTTGACATGCTCATTCACTCCTCAGACATAACAGACATTTACTCTGGCTCTGGGAAGGATTCTTTAATCTAGTGGATGCTTCTGGATAACTCTTCAACAGTTGGAAGGTTCACAATTTTTAAAGGAGGTTCTGCACTAGTATTAAAAATGGTGTTCATACCAACCTCGCCTCAAGCTCTCATGACATTGGGGCAGCCATTTTAGAGTCTGCCTGCTATTATCAAACAGTTTTCTCTGTGTGAAAACTGATTTGTAAAAACCTGATTTCTAACCCCACTATTTTTCTGCACAGATTTTTTTTCTTTTCTTAACTGATGTGAAGCTAAGTAAATAAAGGTAACAGTAAAGGTTTCCCTTGCCTGAAAGCCAGTCAAATCCAACTCTAGGGTCGCAGTGCTCATCTCCATTTTCAAGCCGAAGAGCCAGCACTGTCCGAAGACGTCTCCGTGGTCATGTGGCCGACATGACTAGACACCAAGGTGCACGGAATGCTGTTACCTTCCCACCAAAGTGGTACCTATTTATCTACTTGCAATTTCTTGCTTTCCAACTGCTAGGTTGGCAGGAGCTGGAACCAGAGACAGGAGCTAACTCCGTCTTGCAGCACTCGGGTCTCAAACTGTTGAACTACCAACCTTCCAGCCTGCAGTTCAGCGTCTTAACCACTGAGCCACCACAACTCCTAAGTAAATAAAACCCTCCATATTAACTTTCAAAAGCAACTCTTTTATCCTACTTATACAGCTAAATTATGTTGAATACATATTTGGAAACATTTGTTCAACATATCAAACTCCACATATTGACTGAAAAGCAGAAGGGTCTGTTACAAAAGTTGACATATGGGGACACCCTTAAGAGAAATCCATTCTAGTTATCCCACTTTATAGCCCCAAACAGCTCCACCCAATTCAAGCAAACTTAATAATGATGTGTTCAGATACTCTCCACATCATAGCAGTTTAGACAAGACTTTGCAGCCTATCCATTGTTAAGGAAAAAAAATATACACTTAGTTATAGTTTGTGATAAATAAGAATTCAAACATTGCTTTGCTGAAATAACATTGTTCTGCGTTCTCTGTTTCTTTGGTCTTCCTTTCTATATTGTTCTTCCAGTTTTTGCTTCTCAGAATCCATACTGTACAAGCTGCAATCTGCACTTCTGATCTGCTCAAACTGACTGAAATCTGCGACATATTTCCCATTTTGAGAGACAGAAATCACAGGCATAAACTCATAACCCCAGAAGATTTCCTCTGGAACATATGAGGTTCGGCTCTGGCAAACAGCACTTGTTGACTCAACTGTGGCATTCAAGAGGACAACAAGTTCAAAATCTTTTTCTTTTAGGTTTTGGGGTGTAAGATCTCTCAAAGGACTGTTCTCATCCAATATATGGTAAAAAGTCAAAGGTAAGATCAAGAAAGGACTTTCAGATGAGGAATCAACATAGAATTTGACAGTAGCTTGGTTAAGCAGGATCCTCTCTCCTTCTTTGGTTTCATAGGTCTGCAGAAGCTTTCCAGCTAGCTGACACTGAATCAGAAGGCTCTTTCTCATATTTGCCACTCGAATCACCAGGCAAAGATGTCCATTGTGTTTGGTGATGACAGCACAATGACTGAATTTAATGGTCTCGGCCCGCTTTTTAGGTCTGGCAATTTTGGCTAGGAAGGTACCAGTGATGAAGATTTCAATCAAAGTTGTGATGACAAGTTGAGCAACTAAGAGGAAAATGGCATGAGGGCACTCCTCAGTGATGAAACGAAAGCCATAACCAATAGTTGTTTGGGACTCCAAAGAAAAGAGAAATGCTCCAGTTAGGGAGTTTACATTCATGACACAGGGGACATGTTTGTGCGAGAATTTCTTTTCTTCCAAGTCTCCATGAATAAATGCAATGGCATAGTAAATTACTCCAAAAAGAAACCAAGTCATTACAAAAGTAGCTACAAACAAAGTAAGTTTATATCTCCATTTCATGTCAATGACTGTGGTCCACAGATCCTGAAGATAAAGCAAGTAAATACCATCCACCTTATCAATCCTGACATTGCTGTGGCCACTTTTGGACATCACACGAGGTTTGCATTTCTTCACCTTAGCACCAATGGCCTCATTTACTAGCGGGCTTTGTGACATGTTGATCTGTGTAGCTTCCATTGTCAGTGTCTCAGACCTAAAAAGAGAGGGGGACATGGTTAATATAAGAAAACATTAGCAATGGCATAATAAGTAGACTCTACATTAAAATAATTGAAGGATTATGATTACATTACATTTGTATAGTCAGAAAGCCGCTAGATTTTAAAGTTGTCAGAAGAGGCATGAAATGTTGTATCAAGCAGAAAATAATCTACCTGATTTCCACATCAAGATAAATTGTCTATCTGGAAAATAATTGTATCACAGCAACTCTTCCTTTTACTATAATGCTTCTCAAGTATATCATGTATGGAAACAAATAAAATGCAGGCACTCGGGAGAACAGTCTTTCATCAAAACTTGAGCTGTTTAACTTGATCCCGCCAAGCCAATCTTGTACTTATGCCTCCACTGGAAATGCTGGCAAAAATACTTTTAAACAACAATTTTGATTGTGATTTTCTCAAATGAAATAATTATTTCTAGCTCTTCACTGAGCATGCAACTGTGCTTGAGAGACAGGAAAGTAAACAGTCTCATGAATGCAGAGGAATATTTGAGGGGGGGGATCTTTGCACCTGAAAATTCTTCAAAGGTTTACATCATGTGCCTCTCCCATTTCAAAGTGGAAAACTGGAGATAATTCACAAATACAGCTTTATAGCATTTGGACCCAGCCAAGGGCAACCACAGAAGACAATGGATCACAAAACTCTCCTCATTTGTTTACTGTGTATCCCAGTTCAGTCCAGGTGGAGATTAAGTGTGCCTACATCCAGGACCGAACAAAGCAAAGAGCACAGGAGGAGACTGTCGTTGCTAGCTTGAAGAGACAAAAAAGACACACAGTTTCCAGAATCAGACAGTTACGTAGTGCAAGGCCAGAGCAAGTTAACAGGAGTTTCCAATAACAAAACTTCCTGATTTAAAAAAAAGCTCCCAAATTTGCATCCTTTGTAGTCTGCTGCTTCGTGCAGCTAGTATTGTTTTGTTCCATTGTTTGGCTTCAAGAGAGAGCTTTAATAAGTGATTCATTTGTGTGAGCCACAGGAAAAAAAAATACGTCTCCCTTGTAACTACATAAAAGATAGTTTCTGGAAATCAAAGACGGACTTATAGTAGAGATGTGTGCCAGCCGAGGATAGCAATGTAATTATTCATGATTGTAACTTTCCTGTTTGTCAGTAGAAGAATATTTATGTTTACACCCATGACTGAGTAACTGCTGGCAGGATGAAGATAAATGACAATTTTAGTCTTATTTCCTTCAGCAGCTACAACTATTAAGGCTGAACTCCTTTTTTCTAAGGTTTACTGTAGAAAAGGGAGTGCTTAACTGAGGTATCCCAATGCATTAAAAAAAATAGTGGGACTGTCAAATCAACACACATACACTGCACAACATATCCGGACAACGAACAGGAAAAAGAGATTACAAAACCTTGAGCGATCTGAACAAAAACAATAGAGAGCGGGAGCATATTAGTGGGGGTAGCAACCCATTCACAAATGCTTTTTAGACAAGCCAAAAAGTTGGAAATAGAACTAAGGAAATGCAGCCTAACAACATGCAGAACTACCAACATGCAAATTCCTACAGGGAAAAAATGCATGACATGGTGACTAAAGAGAATCCACAGCTGATCACATGCTGGACAGGAAAAGACAGTCATATTTTTAAACCTAATGGAGAGCAGCCTGATAAGGAATGTTTAAGTCCCTCACCCCCATTCCAGGGACAACTTCTCTCTTTGTTTCTACAACCTGTGCAACGTCTACATGCCCTCTGGTGCCCAAATGGAACTCCTATGGCAGTCTCTGGCAGCAGGGAGCAGCAGGTTCTTTTGTGTGGGTAGAACCTGAATGGAAAAGCCCTTAGGGATGAAAGCTCCACATGTCCACCAGAGCCCCTGAACCTAGGAGGAAATGTTGGGTTGGGGTGCCTGGAGTCACACACAGGGACAACTCCTTTGGCTAAGGTTGGGACCAAGCCAATGCTCCTCCTTCCTTTTCTCACAGGCATTTCTTTAGAGAAAGTACAACTGCCTACTGTTTAAACACTGTGGTTTGTTTACTCATAAGTAAATTCCCAAATGATGTGGACCAGTGGAATCTCTTTTTACAAGCATGCTCCTTCTTGGATAGACAGCTTTTACTGCTATTTATTTACTAATTAAAATTTTTCTATCCCACCTTTTCAAGAAAGTTCCAAGAGGTTCACAAAAGAGTGAAGTGACAGCCAGGGAATGTTTCCTCTTCAGGACTTCCGTTGTACTGGAAGTCCCTTGCCAGGCTCAGTTTGTAAAGAAGAATTTCAGCCTTGAGAGTCAGAACAGTGTAATGATTAGAGAGTCAGAATAGGATATGAGACACCCAAGTTCTAATCCTCACTCTGCCATGGAAGATCACAAGGTGACTTTGGGCCAATTACTTTCTCTCCTAATAGACCCCACAGGGTTATTATGAGGATAAAATGGAGGAGGGGAACGTTATTGTAAGCTGCATTGGGTCACATTGAAAAGAAAGGTAGGATATAAATCTATGGCCCCTGCCACACGGGGGGAAATTGAGGCGGGCAAAGTGCGGCTTTTGAAAGCCGCACCAAAAGAGACACGCGGCGGCGGGATCACACAGATCCCGTGAGCCACCGCGCAGTTGCTCCCCGGCATGATCAGATGTCGGGGAGAAAGCCACGGAAGGGAGCGCGAGGCTGCCGGCTGCGCATGTGTGCGCATGCGCAGTTTGACTGGGAGCCTCGATTGCTCTGGAAGACGGGCGTTCCAGCGATCCGACAGCTGCGCTTGATGGGGCCAAAACCTTCCATGTGACCGGGACCTATATATATAATAGAAAGTCCCCTCACCATAAAATCAATGCCCAAGTCGAACCCTTGGACCTAGAAGCATGAAATTCGGGGAGAGCACTCCTACCTTGACATAGATGCTCACTAAGAAGGGATTTTTAGAAATTCAACCACTAAGGGAGTCAAAAGGGGTAAAATGTGCTCCATCTATTGTTTTCTATGTGGCCGCCATGCTGCTGCCTCCTTGCATCCCCCACTCTCTGATTGGTCAGCTGCAGAGCTCAGTGTTCTGAGGTAAAAACAGTTACAAGAGACTGCAGAATGGCCAATCACCTCAGGTACTGCAGTGCTGCTGGCCCAGCTTCCCTTATGGCTTCAAACACACTCCCCCTACACCTGACAGGCGGCTGTCTGTTAGGTGCAGCAGTGAGTGCAGGGTGCTTTAAGCCATCAGGGAGCCCACCCCAGCAGTAATGCCTTAGCAATCATGCTGGCAAAGCCTCCACAATGGCTTGCAGTACCCCTCCTCCCTACACTGGATAGGCAGCTACCTGTCAGGTGTAGGAGAGGGAATAGGATGCTTACAGCCATCAGGGAAACTTGCTCAGCAGGATTGCCTGAGTGCAGGGTGCTTTAAGCCATCAGGGAGCCCACCCCAGCAGTAATGCCTTAGCAATCCTGCTGGCCAAGCCTCCACAATGGCTTGCAGTACCCATCCTCCCTACACTGGATAGGCAGCTACCTGTCAGGTGTAGGAGAGGGAATAGGATGCTTACAGCCATCAGGGAAACTTGCTCAGCAGGATTGCCTGAGTGCTGCAGCTGGCCCAGCCTCCCCGATGCCTTTAAACACATTTCCCTCCCCAATACTAGACAGGCAGGTGTCTGTCAGGTGTAGGAGCAGGGCCAGGATACTTCAATCCATCAGGGAAGCTGCCCAAGCAGAAGCACCTTAGCAATGCTGGTGGGCCAGCCTCCCCAGAGGCTTTAGACACTTTCCCACCCACCCTTCCTCCAACTGACAGGTGGTTGTTTGTCAGGTGCAGGAGCAGAGCATTGAAAGCCATCAGGGAGGGTGCCCAAGCAGCATCACCTTATCAATCCTGCTGATTCATCCTCCCCAATGCCTTCAGACACACTACCCCTCCTACACCTGACAGACAACCGCCTGTCAAGGGTTGGAAGGGGCGTGGAGTTCTTAAAGCCATCAGGGAGGCTTGCTTAGCAAGATTGCCTTAGTGCTGCTGCTGGCCCAGACTCTTCGATGCCTTTGAACACAATCCTCCCCTTATACCAGACAGGTGGGTGTTTGTCAGGTGCAGGAGCAGAGCCAGGGTACGTTAATCCATCAGGGAGTCTGCCCTTTAGCCACACTCCCACCCAATATGGAAATATACCCCAAATTTGTAGAAAAGTGGTTTCCTGTATCAGGTTATTTAACTTCTCACAATGTGGGTTCTGGAAAATTGGTTCATATGAACTTGCTTAATATCTGATTGCTCAGTTGTTGTTTTGATTATGTATATGTCCCACTTCTTAAATATAACATAAATGAGAAGCATTTTTTAAAATAAAAAAAAGATGCCCTGCACTCAAAAAATAAATAAAGCAATGCCCAGGCCAAACCCCTGCACCAAGAAACCCAAAAAAAAGGGGGAATGCCCACCATGATGTCAGCCCCCACTACAAAGAGATTTCTAAGAAACACGACCCCTGAATGGGTAAAAAAGGGGCAAAATGTGTTCCCCCGATTGTTTTCTATGTGCCTGGCAGGCTGCTGCCTCCTTGCTCCCCCCCCTCGATTGGTCAACTGTGTAGCTTAGAGTCCTGAGGTAATACCTGCCTGTTTGCACCAACCTCCCTCTGATTGTTCAGCTGTGGATCTCAATGTTTTGAGGTAAAAACACAGTTAAAAGAGACTGCAGACAGTTGAGGACAGTTACAGAAATCAGCAATTCAGACTCTTGAATAGACATTTCTCATAACAGCCAGCATGGCATCACAGAGAGGACCTTCAGTAGAGGAGGGGGGGGGACAGTACATATGTCTCACTTCATTTTTTACACTACAATCTTCTCCATTAGAATTCCTACAACAAATGTTACATTTCAAACTTCACATCATCAGTACTATATCTGGATTTATGGAACTTAAATACCATAGTGAAGCATGGGTATCAGGCTAGTATCTAAATAAATACACGCAGTGCTCTTTTTGTAGCAGGAACTCCTTTGCATATTAGGCAACACACCCCTAATGTAGCCAATCCTCCAAGAGCTTACTGTAGCCCCTGTAAGAAGAGCTCTGTAAACTCTTGGAGGATTGGCTACATTAGGGGTGTGTCGCCTAATATGCAAAGGAGTTTCTGCTACAAAAAGAGCCCTGATAAATCGACATTGCAGTTTATAATCTCCCCTTTCGAGAAAGGGGTACTTGCAAGGACAGTTCCAGCCAGCTTGCTCCCTGAAATACGCATGGACCTACTCAGCCAGTAAGCACCCTAGCGTGTCACTTAATGCCAAAAGCTAGCTTGGAACAGTACACTTTGTACAATGTGATGTCCACAAATCTTTGGCTGAAGATAGAGAAACTTCTCACCACTAAACATGGAGCTGAGATCAGGGACAAAACCTGATCTGTACTAAAGTCCAGGTTTGAGTAACAGCTTTTACCCAGAAATACCAGCTGTCTGGAAACCCGTAACAATAATCATTGGAAGATGGAAAGTCTGAATCAGTCAGAGGAAAGGGGCTGTACTCCAAAATCTTATGACTCAGTAGGAGAAGCTAATTGTGGGGAAGGTTACATCAAGGCACTGGGAACCCATGTTCCACTTTACTTCCATCTTCCTCACATCTTCTTCATTAATCTGAACAGGTATTTCCTCAGTTCATCCTCTGTCCCCATCTGTTACTTTGACACATACCTACATCTCCTGCTTGCATCAGCATTTCTTAAATCTTGCCACCATTGTAGTCATATTTTCTATTTCTTTTCTGTTTGATGTTTGTAATTTTTTTTTAAAAAATAAACATCTAACACATGGGGGGGATACACCCTTTAAAGATGTGTGTCTTAAGAACACAAGTTTTTTGATTGAAAGGAAGCAGCCACCAAGAACACTTCTGTATGTTCCTTTCATGCTTTGTTGCTTTGATCCCAAATGTTCTTAGACACTCATAAGAGATCTAACTGGGACACCAAAGTAGTTTGAGGGGCTCAAAGCCTTTTAGAGCTTTAGCATGTCAAATCAGACTACATTCATCTCTGAATAAAATTGGAGAACATTTGTGAATCTCCAAGACAGTGCTGTTTTCCTCCCTCAATCTTTTCTCAGACAGAACTACTTCAGGTTGTCTCTTCCAAAGAGCCAGAATTAGTATGTATGTCTTATCCCTGCATGACCTATGAGTACAACTGGCCTTGCTTTCACTTTTTCAATTGTTCATTGGCTCCTGTGATCTTTCATTTTCTCACTGATATTTTCAGGCAGTGTCTCCACTGTTGTCAATGTCATACAGCAAAGAATGTCTGAATCTTGACCTCAGAGTATTAAATAAGTATTAGAATAGTATCTCACCAGTCCTTGGTGCTTTCCTCTCTCCATTTGTGTTCTTTATTAGGGAGCATTCGTGTACCAGTTAGTCACTTCCTTTCATCTCCTGGAATGGATCCCGTCAGATCCTGGCCTTTCCCCACCCAACTTCCTGCATGTTGTTTCCTTCATCATCTCTCTTCTTTCTTTTGTACATATCTTTACAACCCAGAGAAATTCATGTTGGATTCTTTAGACTGAAAAACTTCACCTTTGTTCTCTGCTGTGCTTGTCAAATGAGTAGATAGCTGCCAGGCTTGATGTGCTGCCTCAGGTCAATAGTCACTCTGTTTCAGTATTGTAGCCCATACTAGCGGCACCAGAGGAAAAGACCCTGAGGCAGGCAGTGAGTTTATCCTTAAAGGCAATCCTCATTCCCCCTCCTCCTTCTTCTTCCCAGATTGACTGACTTGTGCCTGGAAGCATGGAAGATTGCATTCTTTCCAAACCTCGGCTTTGTTTATTCCAATATTCGCTGTCGTAACACTAGATATTCCAGTTACTCCTATAAATACACAGTCCATTTTTCTAGTCTTTTCATTGTCAGTGACACATGGTGGGCCAATGCGTTCTCCAGCCTGATTTTGCGGAGAAATGGAAAAGCTTTCATTGTGCCAGACTAGCATCCTCCTCCTTTTGTTGCTGACAAGCGATCTCTTATTCTTGTGCTGGGACACAGACTGAAAGGAAAGGATGGGCCTGTCCATCTCCTACAGTGGTACTAGCAAATATTTTGTAGGAAAGGTTTCAGTGAAAATTGTGGAGATTGAGTAGCAGTCCCACATAGATCAGGAAGACCAACTAAGAGGCATGAAGAGGGACTGGCATCATGTGAGGATGGACCTTGTGTGTACAATCAGAGTGAGTTGGTAGCAGTGCATGCAAGGGATATCTCTCTCTCTCTCTCTCTCTCTCTCTCTCTCTCTCTCTCTCTCTCTCTCTCTCTCTGTGTTTGTTTGTTTGTTTGTGTGTGTGTGTGAGAGAGAGCGAGAGCGAGAGAGCACTATATGATGAAATTAAATGTGGCAGTCTGTACTGCAGACAACCATTTTATTTCATTTTAATAATAATGGCCCAAAGAATTCTGGGAATTTTAATTTAGTGAGTTGTTGAGAATTATCACTTAGAGATTTTAACACTGTCCTTCCACCTCACCTCATATACAGAAGTGGAGTTCCTCAGGAAGAGGGACAACCTCAAACATTTTTAGCAGAAAAGCAGGATAAGTAGGTGGGTAGATGGATAGGACAGAACAGCTGCAGTGAAAGAGTTAGGAATTATCTGATATACTAGGGTTTGGTAATGAAATCACCTTACCCTTCTTTGGACTATTCATTGGATCGGATTTTGTTTCATGGGACTTCAGAGGTAGTTCCCCAGTATACTGAAAATGAAATTGATGAAGGCTGCCTTAGCTGCTGAAAGTCAATGTCATTTTTAATACACTGGGAGAACACTCACTATTTTAAGTTTACATAGGAATGAAGCTCCAAGACTAGGAATGTGATTCAGGCATCTCAGAATTGCACACCCTCAGGGTAAAAGGACGCTACAGAAGAGAACAAAAGGAAGACAAGGTACCTGGGTCCAGAGAGCAAGAGAAGAGGAGCAGGAGAGAGGGTATGCGTACCTCCTCTTCTGTACTCTAAGGGCTCCACTTGATGTTGGCAAATTTTGACAAAACATGTTTGGAACAAATCCCATTCAGGTTTGGAGGAATGAAATCTCAAATGGGACAGACCTTTAGGAATTCATTCATTCCTATAGAAATGACTGTTGTTCTGTTGTTTGTATGTAGTGCTGGAAGCGTATGTTGTTTCTGTAATTCATGCACTGAAGATTGTGTCTTCGTTTACAAATTAACTTTCTGCACATGTTCCAGTTCTTAGCCTCAGGTTTCTGAGGTGGCTTCTAATCAAAACATAAAAATGCAATATATAATAAAACCCTGAAACCAAGTATGAAAACAACCTTAACTTTTGCATCCTAAAACTTCTTTAAAGCAAGCAAGCAACAATCAAGAACAAAGACAACTCAACACACACAGGCCTGGGTCAACAGAATGGTTCTAGCCTGGTGTCTGAAACTAGAAAGACTGGGCAGTGGGCACGCAGCAGCAGGCAGGCTGTTCTAATGTCCGGTCTTGCTGTGCAACAGCCTCTATCTTGAGCAGCAATCCACATCCTTTCTTTCTTTCTTTTAGTATTTTGTATGTGTGCATGTGTGTGCTTGCGAGCCTGGAAGTCATGGTGACTTCTGGTGACTCCTAGTGGGGCTAGGATGTTTCAGAGAGGTGGCTTTGATATTACCTGCCTCTGCATCCCAGCCCTGGTATTTCTTGGACATCACCCTTCCAAGTACTTGCCAGGGTACTTTCCTTTATGATGGGGGGGGGATGAAGCAGGGCCCTTGATGCTCATCTTATCATGATAATGGGCTTCAGTAGTTTGAACATGATCAAAACCCACCTCATCCTCAGTCATACCATGGGTCCATTTTTCTCAGTATTGTCTACTCTGGCAGTAGCTTACCAATTTCTCTGGCAGAGAAAAGACTTTCCCAAGATTTTTCTTCTGGGATGCTTTTAAATACCTTTAAAAATATCCCTCTTATTTAAAACAGACATACTTCCTTTCTTACTGCTTCATAGATATCTTCCAAGTATTCAGTACAGCCTGGAAAATCTACAACAACTATTCCTAAGTAAATTGCTAAAAGACTGCTGTTTAATAGTACACTTATTTGCATTCCCTACTGGCTATCAAATAATTTGCATATATTTATGCTCAGAGACCTATAAAACAATATCTGATGCTTATACATGAAAGATTAATGTTCAAAGCATGAAGTCAACCCATTAGGTTTATGGCACATACCCTGGAATAATAAACCATTTATGTTATGAGACAAATCCATTGATTTCAGTTAGATTTACTTGTGGGTAAAAACTGTAGGACCACAGCCATAATCAATTCAACATGGACATGCTTGCTACAACTACTGTTATTTAGTGAGCAGCAAGCTTTACTTTATTTGACACTTATTGATCCAGATTTTTTTTTATATAACAGGAATAAAATTCATCTTGAAATAAAAACTGTAGTAACTTCTACATCTGCTATTAATTTTTAATAACAGCAGTTCTAAAAAATGCTATTGGAAGAGAGACAAACACTTTATGCAATGAGTCCCTCTGACCCTGCTGTGTTTAGATTTTTTTTTTTTAATGAATGACATTTCCGGACTTACAAAACACTCAGAACTTTTTTGCATCTCTCTTGCCGGGTTATGATTTCCAACTTCCTTGGATTCAAACACTTTCACAGTGGATCTTCACTAGCACAGCTAGATATCCAAAGCAGAAATCAGTGATTTTCCACCTTTATCTCACCCTTGCTCCAGTTCATGCTGTGTGAATATTACCTACCTCTGGAAGACAGCAAGTTTTTATACTGACATCAACTCATCAAAGGACAACATACACAGAGTTCTTATCATTTACATGTGCTTACAAAAACAATACTGATTACTTCCATTCTGTATCACTTTACATCTTCAAAGTGCTAAACAAACATTAATTAATCCTAGACACAGCCCTGCAGAGAAGGTGTATCCTATTCCCATTTTAAATACATAATAGGAAACTAAGGGGGGGGGGTCAATGACACACAAATTCTGTAATGAATGAGTAGCAGAAACAGAGAACAGGCATCACAAATCACTGGCCATTATCCCTTTTTTGGGGGGGCGGTAAACTAGTTTCAAATTTTCCTTTCCCCATTAGATGTCAGGGGCAAGGGTAATGTTGGTCTCCTTTTTCCTATGCGCTGATCTCTCATTTTCTTTCTGTGTCTGTGTCTGTGTGTTGTGCTTGCAGAGTGCTCCATTATTTAATTAAGGACTACAGATAGACAAGTACCACTGACAGCCAGTGTGCCTTAGTGGTTAGAGTGTCTGACTGGGATGTGGGAAACCCAGGTTCCAATCCCTGCCCATGCCATGGAAACTAGCTAGGTGACCTTAAGCAAGTCACACTCTCTCAGACTAACCTACCACTCAGAGTTGTTGTGAGGATACAATGGAGGAGAGGAGAACAATGCATTTTTTGGGGGGGGAAGCAAAGTAGAAATACTAAAAAAAAAAATTAAGAAATCGTTTAGTTTTACGCCAGCCAGGTGGTGTTTTATAACAAACTTTGCAAGTGACATCATCATGCCGGGGATGTTATACAACAATGTCCCTGTTTGGGCATGGGGTTGGCCTGCGGTGGATCAAAGCTCCCAAAAGCGGGAGGATCCTTGCTGGGACCTGGGGGCTGGTAACACTAAATGTAAACCACTTTGGTTCCCCACTGGGGCAAAATGCAGAGTATAAATGAAGTACGTAAATAAGTAAAAAATCTCCTGCCACTCTTAAGCTTGTTGATCTGCTCAGCTCAGCTCAGCATAGGGTCTGATTAGACCATGCATTAAATGTAAGTTTGGTGTAGTGGTTAAGTGTGCAGACTGGGAGAACCGGGTTTGATTCCCCACTCCTCCACTTGCACCTGCTGATGTGACCTTGGGTCAGCCACAAGCTCTGGCACAGCTGTCCTTGAAAAAGAGCAGTTTGTGTCAGAGTTCTCTCAGCCCCACCCACCTCACAGGGTGTCTGTTGTGGGGAGGAGAAGGGAAAGGAGTTTGTAAGCCGCTCTGAGACTCCAAGTGAAAGGCGGGGTATAAATCCAATCTCTTCTTCTTCTTCTTAGTTGGCTTAGGGCAAACCCAACACAACTCACATTTAACATGTGGTCCAGTGCTCACTCTAAAAAAGAGGTGGGGGCAGAATCTGCTCCTGAGCATGCATAGTGGCAGGCGGCTTCAATTCCCTTCATTCAATCCCACATTCCATTCCCACAGAAAAGGGCTGTGGGGCGCAAACTGTTTTGTGTTACTAGCAGTTCCACGTGTACACAAGGTAGACACATGAAACTCGCAGTAAGACAAACAGCCCAATGCCCACAACCTTTTTCTGCTAGTG